TTCGAATCATTATACGTGGTACATCCAATAGAGTAATAATGAAACAATACGCCGAAGCCAATAGGATCACAAGGGTCAATGCAATAGGACCACAATGGGTCAATCAATAATCCATAATTCAATGTGGACCATTAAGGTATAACATCAGAGATCTTTGTGTTTCAATTAATCCAATGGGCCATGGTATTGTTTTCCCCAGGCAAGGGCTTATTAATTAACGGGCCATGGTATTGTTTCCCTCAGGCGAAGGCCTCACTAAAGGATGCCACCATTATAATTTCAAAAAAGACATTCATTCATAGATAACAAAAATAAGATTCAATTCAGCGTGGACCATTAAGGTCTAACATCAGAGATCCCTGTATTTCAATTAATCCAATAGCTCATGGTATTGTTTTCCCCAAGCGAGGGCCTTACTAAAGGATGCGGTGATTACAATTTTAAAAAGGACATTCATTCATAGATAACAAAATAAGATTCAAAATATCATTCTTAATCAATTCAAAATACTTTTCAAATATAGCTTTATAAAGACATTACTCACAGTGGGTTGTACCGATATTAAGCCTCGGGCGTCCACCTACACAATACATATAACAAAGCACACATTGAAACACATGTTTCAAGCAAATGTTCTACTCAATCCAATCATCCTTTATGTGTTTCTAATTCATTTCCTTATTAAGAATGCCTAAACAATGTCCAAGGATATCTATAAGAGTATAAGGATGAAAGCATGTATATGTGAGTGTACTTCAAAAATGCTGTAAACAAGGCAGTTCGCTTGAGCACACCTTTGGTTGCTCGAGCGGTTTGGTCTGTCTACAAAAGTACTGAATGGTCAAAAAGTAGGCTCGATGGTCTCTCGAGTCAGTTATGAAAAATGAACTGAGGTTGCTCGAGCGAACCCTTTGTCCCTCGAGCAGTCTGTAAAACTTTGCAAAACTTCTAGATGAATGCAAAATGCGCTTGAGCGACATATTCATCGCTTGAGCGAAGTGAATGAATTCTAGATTTTCTAGAATTGAATTCTAAGTTCAAAAACATGAATCTCAACTCAAAAGCTTGCATGGCTGAAGGAATTATAAGGAAACACTTAACAAAACATGGATACTTGATAATTATCAAACCATAATCCAAAATCTCTTTTCAAATTTTCCAAAACAAAGCTCAAAACTCTTCAATCTTGCTATGCATGCAATGAATTCAACTCTTTTATTTTCAAAATATGTTTATATTAGATGATATGTGTGAAATCATGAAGAACCTTCAAAGATAGTTAGTGTAACATCGTGCATGTAAAGATTTTGTTAAGAATTTAGCTTGAGAATGAGGAATTATGCATGCATGTCCCAACTAAACTCATGTTTACCAAATTCAAGGTGATTCTAGCATTTCCTTAACAAATTCATACAAATGATCCAACAAACTTCATGAATTCTATTTCTATATGAATTATCTATAAAGATTATGGTTAAAGATCATACATAGAGCTTGAATTTGGTGACAATCTAGCTTAATCCCTTCAATTCTTCACAATTCACGCTCCTACAAATTTTTAGTTCAATGTGTTGAATAAATGACTTCTTAAACATGTTTCTAACATATATATATATATATGGTTGGATTAAGTTAAGTTAATCAAATGAGATTAGGGCTAATTAATTAACCTTAATTCTATTTAATTCTAACCAAGTCTAATTGATTTGATTTAATTATTTTGATCCGAATAAATTTTAATCGAACTTGTCATATGGTTCTAAATATTCTAATCACTCTATGGAACTAGTCAATTTTTGTTTCTGATTTCGTTAAGGCTTCCAATTTCTGAATCCAAGTCGGTATTCTAACAGATAATTCATAAGACAAACATATAAACACCTATTCATACAATTATACTCAATAAAATAATATGTAAAAATAATGTATGTCGAGGTCGTCACACCTTCGAGCATATTATCCATAAAAATATCTAGAACAATTTGATAATCATAACTTGTCAAATTAATCACGTTTGTTACCAAAAAATTGGATGATATATTTTTGAAAATACATTTGTGGTCTATTTTTTTAAAGACAAATGCAATAATTTGAAATATTACGATTATTGAATCGACTTAATTTTGTGCAAAAATGATATAGACTAAAAGCTTTACAAATTAAATGGTTCAAATTATTAAAACAGATGCGTGATAGATCCCATAGGCCCAAGAAAGAATCTCTAGTCCACATTTTGGACTGAATACAATCTGTTTGTTTTAGAAAATGCAATAAGAAAATGAGTGTGGAAAATATTTTATACGCGTCCATAAGAAAATGTTTTAAGAATCAGGTTGTAATAATTAAAAATAAATATAAATAAAAAGTATATAAAGGCATGAAAACTAGATTGAGATTCTCCCCATCACATGGTTATGATGATAGATCTTTATTAGATTATTTAAAAATTGTAAAATAATTAGAGAAATTGAACACTTTTTTAAATTTAAAAAGAATCATTACAAATACCTGGATAATGTAATGAGATCCTCCATTACATTTTTAAAATGGAGACCATCGTAATATTTGAAAATTACTCATAGTTGGTGAAAAAAATAAAGAACATGATAGAAAAAGAGGAAAGATATATAAGTCCAATTTTTTAAACTCATTTTTAAACATAATGATATATAAAAGACATAATTAACTAATAATTAAAAAAGGCATAGGACATGCATAGAATTTTTTCAAAATGAAAGGAAATAGAAAGGAGGAGGATCTCCTCCCATCCAAATATTATTTGTTTGGATTGATGGGACTCACCACAGTGCTGTTTCTCACTACAAGAAAAAATATTATTGGCGACTAAAAAATCACATTTCGTCGCTGAAAGTATAGTATTTGGTGACTAAAAATTTGTTTGGTCGTCGATATATGGCTTTTAACGACTAAAAAAATTTTAGTAGCCAAAAGTAAGGCATTTTGGTGACTAAAAAAAATTTAATAGCCAAAAGTGAGGCATTCGGCGACTAAAAACCTGTTTGGTAGCCAAAAGTGAGGCTTTTACCGACTAAAAAAATTTTAGTAGCCAAAAGTAAGGCCCTTTGGTGACTAAAAAAAAATTAGTAGCCAAAAGTGAAGCATTCGGCGACTAAAAACATGTTTAGTAGCCGAAAGTGAGGCTTTTTGGCGACGAAAAAAAATTTAGTCACCAAAAGTGGTAATTTTAGTGCGAAATTTTTTTTTTAACGACTAAAAAATAATTAGTAGCCAAAAGTATAGAATTGGCGACTAAAATTATGTTTAGTTGCCAAAAGTTGTGTCCTTTTTTTTTCTACTAAATAATTATTTTTACATAAACTATGTTCAATAAAAAATAATTATGTTTATATATATACTTTGATATTAATACGGGTCAAAGTACTATATAAATAATATATGTTGCATATCTAATCATATGATGATATGGAGGCGTAGTGGAAAGAGTACCTTGTATAAGGTTTATGGTGTGGGAGGTTGATGGTTCAAATCCCCACAAGAGCATGGTGTAATTTTTTTTTTTTTCTCCGAAATGAGCTTTTAGCGACTAAATCTATTTGGTCGCCGATTCCTTGAGTATTGGCGACGAAACATTAGTTGGTAAATGTATAATTTAAAAAAATATAATTGACTATTGGCGACTAAACGTTTTTTAGTCGCCAATACCTTTCCCGACCGTTTTCCAGCGACCAAACCGGCGACTAAAAAATTTAGTCAGGGAAACTTAAATACCGACTTTTGGCAACTAAAAATTTAGTCGCCAAATGTGTTTTTTCTTGTAGTGTTTATAATACGAATCATTCATTTTGTCAGACATTTTGTATATTTCATTTACAAAAAAAATTAAGTCGATTTCAATAATTATAACTTATTTAATTTTTCACTAAAAAAATAGAAAAGAATTGTATTTTTAAAAGTAAACTATACATTTTTTTAGTGACCAACGTAATAAATTAAATAAGTTATAAGTATTAGATCGATCTAATATTTTGTATGAATAAAATACACAAAATATTTGACAAAATAAACTATTCGTATTATCAAAATAAGGTCCATAATGAACTCCGTATACCCAAACAAAACCCTCCAATCTAAAATTTGAATTAATAGATATGCATATGATAGAGTGAAAAACGAGTCAAATTTGAAATCTTTGAAACAATAAAAAAAAAAAAAAAAAAACCCCGGGGACAAGAACGAAAACATCCAGACAGCCAACGAAAAAGCTGACGCTTATGGGGTGGTACTGTACATCAGGCTGATAGAAACATATTCCTATTTTCAAGCCTTGCTTTACAAGTCACTGGTTTTGTTTAAAAGTAAAAAGTTATTTAAAAAAATATAAAAGTCAATAATTTATATTAAAAAGTTAAATTTTTTTTCCTCTTTTTATATTTTATACATTTTTTTTATAAAATTTAAAAAATTATTCTAAATATATTAATTTTTTTAACCTCATATTACAGCTAAAAAACTAAAACATTATTAAAGCTCCGTTTGGAAAGAAAAAAGTCAGATTTTTTTGACTAAAATAGCCATAAAAAAACAAAATAGATTATTTTAGTCACAAAAAATAAAATATTAAATTCAACCCATAATCATTATAATCCTATCTCACAAAAAAAATCAAAAAAGTCTAAAGTCCTTCCCAAACCAAACTAAAATAACCCAGACTAAAATTACTAAAAAAACCAAAAACTAAAAACCAACTCAATTTCCAAACGGAAGCTAAAAAAGACTGTTCCGAACCACGCCTCATTCCCTTTCAGCTTCTCAATTGGTGATCAAATGTCGCACGTGAAAATGTTTTTGAAAGCTCCACTGCAATATTGATTGTTTACCTACTTCGTACATTGTTTCTCCCTACTCATCTCTCTCTCTCTCTCTCTCTATCTATATATATATATATATATATGTATATATATCTCTAGAAAAATAGTGAGTGTAGTGCAGTGCAGTGCCTAGCAATAACAAGGAGAACCATGGCTGAGATTATCTCTTCCTCTTCGTCACCATTACTCTTGTTTGAAGGGGCCACACCAACTATTCAACAACGCCTCCAATTCATCATGCAAAGTCGAAGTGAGTGGTGGGTCTACGCCATCTTTTGGCAAGCATCAGAAGACAACAATGACCGCATTCTTCTTTCTTGGTGTGATGGCCATTTCCGAGGCCATGACCAACTCAAACTCGGGTTTGACATGAAGAGAAAGAAGGTGGCCAGAGGAATTCAATCACTTGTCAATGGTGGCGATGCCACAGACCCCGAGTGGTTTTACATGGTGTCTGTGACAAAGTCATTTGCCCATGGAGATGACATTGTTGGCCAAAGTTTTAGTTCTGGTGCTTATGTGTGGCTAACCGGTGATCATGAGATGCAGTTTTACGACTGTGAAAGGGCAAAAGAAGCTCATGGGCATGGGATTCAAACTATGGTCTGTATTTCAATTTCAAATGGTGTTATTGAACTGGGTTCCTCAGAAATAATCGAAGAAGATCGGGGTTTACTCCAACTAACCAAGTCTCTTTTTGGTTCTGACTCTGAGGATATCACCATGGTATCAAAACAGCCTGGTGGCCATGTGGGTGAGATTCTGTTTCCCCCGAACCGGAATCTTTCCCTCCTAGACTTTGGTGTTCCAAAAGAGAGTTATGAAGAGAGAAATAAGAAAGAAATGACGATAGTAACAGGCCAGTCATCATCTGAATCAGGGGCTTCTGATCTTCAAGGCACTTTTTACTCAAATTCAACATTGATGAACATTCGTTCTGAAAAAAGAGAAAGGAAGACAATGATAAGCTTAGAAACACCACCCGTAAACCATGTTCAGGCAGAGAGGCAGCGAAGAGAAAAGCTGAACAATCGGTTCTACGCACTACGAAGTGTGGTGCCCAATGTATCGAGGATGGACAAAGCGTCTTTACTTGCAGATGCAGTTTCATATATCAAAGAGCTTAAAGCGAAGGTAGGGGAATTAGAGGCAAAACACCGAGTAGAATCCCAATCCCACAAGGCAAAGGTATTGTTGGAGATTTCCTAATAGCCTTAAAACTTTAATTATTTTTATTTATTATTATATTTTATTATTTATTTATTTATTTTCTTTTATAGTCTTATTTATTTGAATTTTAAATTTGTTTTTGGTTTTAAATCAAAAGGTGTGTTTGTTCCAAATAGATACCAAAGAGCCTATTTAAATAGGACTCTTACTCAAGAAAGAATAACATACTCTGTTTTCTCTCTCTCCTTCTTCTCTTTACAGTATTTTATATTTCATATTTCTGGGCAATTGATACATTCTTGGCAAATTCTTCTGGTGCAACTATGAATTGTATCAGATCCTGTAAAGTTTTTGGGTTGTATCTTGGAATCGTTTGTGATCGTTAAAACCTGCACAGAGGGAGCGTATAATGACTTTAGGACAGCGTCTTTGACGTGTCTCTCACAATCACACAGGCTTTTTTCTGAACCCTTTCATCTTTTACTTATTCTGTTATATATATGTATATATAGTTTTGTTGAATTGTAAAACTTAATTTTTCAGAATATGTTTTGTTTTTAATATTATTCTATTAAATTGACTTAAGATAAATATTATTTAATTCACCCAACATGTTCAGCAAGAGCATTTCTGTATTTTGTAAAGTAAGAGAATTCTTATCGACTATAATTCCTATTTAGGTGTGTAAGTTTGAAGCATTACAAAATCACTATTCTGATAAAAATCAGAACAGTGCTCTCCACATTTAAATGACTGACAAAAACTTCAATCACCATGAATGCAATTTTCAACCACTTTGCAATGTTACTTACTGTGTTTTTTGTTTTTTTGTTTTTTGTTTTTTTTTTAAACAGCAAAAAAAAAAAAAAAGCTTTTATTTATGATAAATTACATATATACATATGGAATTGTATTAAAAAAAGGGGGATGAAGTGCAAAAAAAATAAAGCATAACTGCATAATCCCAACTAGGTTGGCACAATAAGGAATGCCCAATTTTCAACCACTTTGCAATGTTACTTAACCCGTGAATTATAATAAAAGTTTGAGTTTATCATTTTCTGATGCTTCTATTGCAATTTCCCATTTTGAGATGTTGGCTAGCTTGTCTAAAAGACAAAAGTTCTTGCAGGAGTGTGGAAAGCTTTGCTACATTCTTTTTATGAATATGGGTCTCTGTGCCCAGAAGCATCCATCATTTTTGTTAGGTTGTCCCTTTGTCTGTAAAAATACAAACTCGATTAGTCCATCAGATGAATAGAGACAGAAAAGAAGCCTATGAAAGTATCGTCTATGCTTTAAAATTGTATTATTTCAACATATGGTATAAT